ACATTCGCATCATCATTATTATCGTCATCATCATCATCACCACCACCATCATCATCATCATCATGATCATGATCATGATCATGATCATGATCATCATCACCACCACCACCATCATCATCATCATCGTCATCATCAACATCATCATCATCATCATCATCATCATCATCATCATCATCATCATCATCATCATCATCATCATCATCAACACCAACATCACCTCATCATCATCATCCTTCTCCAGAGCGCCCCGGATCCGCGGCACTGGCCGGAGGCCATCACAATATTCTACCCCCCCTGGTTATCGGTTCTGCTTTTTCGGATTCCAGTTTACATATGACACCGGAGAAAAACCCCAATCATATTTTTTTTAGGGCTGTAGGGCTATAGGGCTATATGGGCTATAGGGCTATTGGGCTATAGGGGAAAAGAGCTACAGGGCTACAGGGCTATAGGGCTAAAGGGCTATAGGGTATAGAGGTATAGGGCTATAGAGCTATAGGACTATAGGGCTAAAGGGCTATTGAGCTATAGGGCTATAGGGCTATAGAGCTATAAAGCTGTAGGGCTATAGGGCTATAGGAATATTGGGCTATCGGGCTATAAGGCTATAGTGCACCCCCCGGCACCCCCAGGCACCCCCGGGCACGCCCGGGCACCCGGGCACCCCCGGGCACACCCGGGCACTCGGGCACCCGGGCGTGCGGCGAAAATCGGCGGCAAATCTAACCTAACCAGATGAATCCGCTAGGACCCCTACAGATCAGCTCTGATTGGGGGGCCAGTATCGCCCCCCCCCCCCCCACGCCATCCCCGTCAAATAAAACACTATGCGCGCGCACTCGTTTATCAACAATCATCACTTTCCAAAAAAACCCTTGCAACAAATGAAACTAAGTGCACACGCGCGCGTCGTCGCGCGCATGCCAACATCCTTCAAAAACGCTCGGTTTCGTAAGGACTTCAAAATCGTTTGTGCAACACCGAAATAAAATCACATGGTTTCGCAACACGACTTTAAAACAATGACACCGGAGAAAAACCCCAATCAGATTTTTGTTGGGGCTATGGGATATTGGGCTATAAGGCTGTAGGGCTATAGGGCTATAAGGCTATGGGGCTATAGGGCTAGAGGGCTATAGGATTATGGGGCTATAAAGCTATAGGTCTATAGGGCTATAAGGCTATTGGGCTATATGCTGTTGGGCTATTGGGCACCCCGGGCACCCAGGCACCCGGGCCAGGCCACCGAAATCGGCGACCAACCTCACCGTTCACCCGGGCAACCGGGCACCGCCGGGCACCGGGGCACCCGGGCACCCGGGCCCGGCCACCGAAATCGGCGACCCACCTCACCTAAACCTTTAATCCGCTAGGACCCCTACAGAGGCAACCTCTGATTGGGGAAAGAACTTGCGCGCGCGCTCTTGTGAATTGTGAAGACAACAAGTAATGGATTTCTTATCTTTTTAGAAAAAAGCTACCATGCGGGCTTCGCGGGCGCGCATGTCGAAATCGTTCGAACGCCCTTGCGCGCGCGCCGTCGCGATAATCTTTTGCACAGGATGGGGCGAAGTGCGCGCGCGCGCCGTCGTGCGCGCATGCCGAAATCCGTCAATAACTTTCGACTTCGTAGCGATTTTACAACCAAGTGTCCAAAGACATTGATAGAACAAAACACATGGTTTCGCAACATCAGTTTTCAAGAAAGCGTGCGCTCGCTTTCTTGCGAATTCTTGGAAAAAACCATTTGCTTCTCAACATGTCCATCGAATTCTGCCAAACGGGCCTCTGGCGCCGCGTGCCGACATCATTCGCGCGCCCTTGCGCGGGTGCGGGGGGGGGGGGGGGGGGGGCGATCCGTATCGAATCGCACCATGCGGGCCACTCTCGCGCGTTGGCCGCATGCGCATTTCGAACTCTTTCCAAAACCTTTATCCCCGACGCGAGGACGCTGTCATCGTCGTCTGCGCGTTTAGCATCGCCCGCACTGGCCGCGCTGTAGTCGTTGGGAACATCGTCACCAGCATCGCTACTAGCATCAGCGTGTCTACCGTTGTCGAAGTTGCCATGATGCCGCGCCCGCCCAAGTCGCCGACTCGCACTGAAGTGCCCGCTAGGATGTGCCCAGCGGTCAGCGCCACCGCGACCACATCGGTCGCGCCAAACTAGGTGGCCGCTGCGCGCGCGTGCTCGGGTTGGCGCGGTCGCAGAGATGGACCAGCCAACGTCAAGCACTCATCGCAGTCGCCGCCGCTTGGGTTTTGCAAACCAAGTTGCGGGTGGGTGGGTGGGATGTTTGCGAGGGCATGGGATGCGTGGACTCGTTTGTTTAAATCAGTTTTCCTTTCTACAGAGAACATAAAGTCTACCTCCCCCCTGGCTTTATCGGTCCATCTTGTCGTGTTGCAACTTACGTACGATTCTGCCCCATCGCCCATCCTAAACGTGAGCTCGTACCATCCCAAGCAGAGTATCGCCCCCCCACCCGTCATCCTCTGCAAAAGATACTATGCGCGCGAACTCGTTTTCCCGACATCAGCTATTTCCACAAATTCCTTGCGACACATTGAACGACATGCGCGCGCGCGCGCGTCGCGCGCGCATGCCGGAATCCAACGACAACCTTTGGTTTCGTGAGAATTCCAAAATCGAGTTTCCAACAACCAAAAAACAAAGAAGGTTTCGCAACGCGGATTTTCGAAAAAAGCTTGCGCGCGCGCTCTTGCAAGTTCTTTTTTAAGAAAAAAACCATCGGCTCCCCATCAATTCAAGAGAACACTAAAAAGCGGGCTTCGCGCGCGCGTGTCGAAATCGTTAAAGCGCGCCCTTGAGCGCGCTCCGTCGCGAGAATCCTTTGCCAAATATGGGGCGAAGTGCGCGCCCGCGTGCCGAGATCCGCCAAAAACCTTCGGCTTCGTGACGATTTCGCAACCGAGTGTCCAACGCGCATGCAGCAACGCATGGTTTCGCAACGTCAGTTTTCAAGAAAGCGCGCGCTCGCGCCATTGCAAAATCTTGAGAAAACTATCGGCTTCTCAAAATCATGGAATTCTGCCAAACAGGCCTCTCGCGCCACATGTCGACATCATTCGCGCGCCCTTGTGCGCGTGCTGCGTGTGTGTGTGTGTGTGTGTGTGTGTGTGTGTGTGTGTGTGTGTGTGTGTGTGTGTGTGCGTGTGTGTGTGTGGTGTGTGGTGTGTGTGTGTGTGTGTGTGTGTGTGTGTGTTGTGTGTGCTGTGTGTGTGTGTGTGTGTGCGTGTGTGTGTGTGTGCTTGCGTGTGTGTGTGTGTGTGTGTGTGTGTGTGTGTGTGTGTGTGTGTGTGTGTGTGTGTGTGTGTGTGGGGGGCGCGATCCGTTCCAAATAGCACCATGCGGGCCGTTCTCCCGCGTCGGCCGCGCGGGCGTGCATGCTGAACTCGTCCCAGAACCTTCGTCGCGGGTGGGGGCGCCGTCGTCGTCGTCGGCGCGATCAGCACCCGCGCCGTCACTGGCCGTGCCATCATCGCTGTTAGCATCGTCACCGACATCGCAACTATCATCGCCGTGTCTACCGTTGTCGAAGTTGCCATGGTACCGCGCCCGCCCAAGTCGCCGACGCGCACTGGATGTGCCCGCTGGGATGCGCCCAGCGGTCAGCGCCGCCGCGACCGCGTCGGTCGCGCCAAACTAGCTGCCCGCCGCGCGCGCGCGCGGGCAGTCGCGGCCGCAGAGATGCACCAGCCAGCGCCAAGCACTCATCGCAATCGCCGCCGCATGGGGCTTGTAAACCACGTTGCGGGTGGGTGGGTGGGATATTTGCGCGAGCAGTGGGGTGGGCAGCTTCAAGCTTCAAATTAAGGATTGATTAATCCTCCATTCTTGACGGAAATTAGATTCGGGGGGGGCCCCCCCCCCCCCCGGAATTGCCACTCCCCCCGGGGAATTGCAATTGCCTCTGGGTTAATTCCCCATATGAACTCATACCGTCCCAGCTAGTCCCGGTACCGGGTCCCCCCTTCACCCGTGTCAAATAATACCATGCGGTGCGCGTGTGTTGATGCGAGATGAGCTGAATGCAAGAATCCATGCGAAATAATGCCATGCGCGCCACATGCGCGCGCCAAGCCTGTGTTTTCGTTGCGATTTCAATGGAAAAACAAAGCCCGAAGGCTTTCCAAAAAACAAGTTTTCAACATTTCACCCCGCGCGTTCTTGCGGATTCTTAGAGAACCCGATGCTTTTTCAACATTCCTGTCCAAGGAGGCCCTTCGCGCGCGCATGTCGAACCTATTCCAATGGCTTCGCGCGCTTGCCAGAGGCGTGATCCCTGTCAGATGATACCATGCGGGGCACCGTCATCGTCACTAGTGCCGTTGGAAGCGTCGTGCCCACTCTTATCGTCGTTTGTCGACGCCGTCGTCCGCGCTGTCTCCTGCAATATGGACTTTGCCCGCGCGACGAGCGCCCGCGCGCCAATGAACGCGATGAAATCATCGGAGGAGGCCCCCAAGGCGGACAAACGAACCCTGTGCAGGGGCCGCCTGCGCCGCGGCTGCGTCGTCCCAGACCCGGCGGTCAGCTGGGGGCCATCCCTCTGGGGTCCCGCTGGGCTCAGGAAGGGCGCGTGCCCGCCCTCGGACTACTCTGATTTGGCGACGCGTCTGCCAGGGCGAGCGGTGGCGCTGGGGCTGCGGGCGCGGAGGGGGGGCCCTCCTCGCCGCCGGAATGATAATCGAACGGATGGGCCCCCGCGCGGACACCCCATGCGCCCCTCGTCGCCGCGGCTGGAAATCGGTACTCGGGCGCAGCGTTCTCTGCGCGTAGATCGCGCGCCGCAACCCAGACGGGGCGGCGCCTGGCGACCCGCTTTGCGCCCTGCCGGGGCTGCGGTGGCCCGGCCGCAGGGCTGTGCCGACGGGCGTCGCGACTAGCACCGCCCGCCGCCCATTGTGGCGTCTCCTCGCCCCCCCGCCCAAGCGGCGACGAACGCTGGCCGCTCCAGTGCCGAGGATGACCGCAGT